TTTTGCAATATTAATTGGCATACGAAAGCCCCAATCTTACTTCTCAAAATCAAAATCTGACTGCTCACGAGTGAGAAAAACAGAGACGTACAGAGAGCTGAAGATTGTGAGCAACCGAAGAAATAATCCTTAAAATTAAAAATTTAAAAAAAAAAACCTTCCAGACAGTTCGAAAATATGAGTTCATTGAATCGCAACCCTCCCAAGTAGAACAGACTGTGCTGGACAGACATGATGCCGCTCCATAATCTCCGCCCCGGAACAACATTTTCTCGATAAGCAGCTTATTGGGCTTTTAAATCAATGAGGAAACTCTCGGGATAAGCCAAAAAACAAATTTGCATAATGCGTAAAATCTACAAGGAAAACAAGCGACGACCTTTAAACGAGCAGTAAATTTTGTTAAAATTTTTGCCTCAGTGACCCATTAACGGCCATTTCTAGAAAACATCGAACGAGAGCACGCACGTTTACAGTTATTAATCTACTGAAGACTAAAGTGATTGCCTCCGAGTACCACTACACACAAGTCCAGTAAAATTTAAGACTCACAAACGATAAATTCCGCTTATTCCGTTCTTAAATAATAATAAATAACAATAATAATAAAGAAATAATTAGTAATAATAATGGCAATAATAATTCTTTAAATTAATTTTTATGCGCTCTTCCCGATTTTCAGACATATGCAGAACTTTATTTAAAATTTAAACAAAAGCTGCTTCTTCGCCCTCTTTCCCGCATCCTTCCCTCCCACCTGATTGCTCATTCTGATAATGAGGGCTGAGAAAGAGAGCTGAGGCTAATTGATATTTGTTTTTTTTAAAAAACGAAAATTCGAAACCTTTCCCAATCACCTTTACCAAAAACAAAAGCAGTAAGCTTTTAGACATTTTTGAGGAATTATATTTAATTGGCGAGCAGGGACAGATTTTGCTAGCGTGAATAATGTTAGCACATCCCATTTATTACTCGTACTACTTTCGAGTGCCTCTGCTTCTCATAGAATAAGAATATGAAGGGGCCTTTGGCTTTTGACTTTCATATTTATGTGTTTCATTCAAGCTCTTAAAATGAAAACAAAAAAAGGACGTAGTAGTGGATAATAGAAACAAATGTAGCAATTAGGACGGATGGGCTAAAAACGCACTTCCACGATTTGATTCCTGTCAGGACGTTCTCGAAATCGGGGTAGCACAATGGCCTGTTGTCGTACCATGGTTGACCACTGCTCCACGTCAGCTAGGTCTTCGTCACTCATCGGCGACGGCTCTCGTATTTCAATAATACAAGCTGAGGAGTGGGCAGTTCGCTGGACAACACAGTACATCACTTTACCTTTCCCACAATACCTACTTAGGCTGTCTAAGGTGTGACGAGTAGCGCAAGTAAACTCTCCACCAATGCGTTTGAAGAATTTGAAGAGAAATATGCAAATTTCATCCAGAAATGAGCAGAAACAATACAGACAGCAGGTGCAGTGAAGCGTTTAAATAGTGATGAATGGCGGCAATCTCGTCATCGGAGCAGTTAAACAACAAGTTGGAATCCAGAAAATGTAGGAATTTGAATGCCCAAGCTGGTCCGGAAAAACAGATGTTTGAAGTCTGAAATTTTATGAGCAAAATTGTATTCATGATCTTTGAAGAATCATTCTTCGCTATACAGTAAAAATCCTCCGTATTAAATTCCTCTCTGAGTCCACAGTGGGGAAGAAGCCCATATGTAAAACTGCGCACCGTCGTAATAGGAAAAAATGTTATACTGGAAGAAAAAATAGCAATAAAAATTACATAACGGGCAGGGTGCATAATAGTACAGTAGAGCGTTCTGGCCCAGCCGTCTAACTGAGATAAGATAAAGACCAAGATGATTAACACCAGTAATTTAAAGACAAAAACTTTATGAGTCACCATCTTTTTCTCTTACTTTTTCTAAGTCTTACCTCTCCTCTTGATTCTTCCAGTAGTTCATAAATTTTTTGAAGGAACAAAGAATTTTTGGTGATTTTGTTTCTTTGACCAGAGATAGATGGGAAGTCCAAAAACTACTGAGGATAAATAAAATATGAGGTGAATTATGGCACTATCAGCTTCCGATAAAAAAGGAACCTTAATTTATCATATGTCAAGAATACCGTGACCGCCTGGACGATCGTTGTGGGTACCCCATGCTAGTGTCGTTATTTAGAAAAAAAAGACACCAGCTATACATTCCTCTCCTTTGGCAAGGCTGATGCTGTAAAGGTATATAGAAAAGTTAGGAGTGCAGAAAATAGTTAAAAAGTGAGAAGAAAATATGCGGATAAAAGCTACAGGGGATCCAGAGAGTGTAACATCACTATATTGTTACGATTTTCCCTATAATCGATGTGGCGATTAGATGCCATTGAGATATACCCACACACCCGACGCAGCTAATCCAGGCACTTTCGCTTCGAGTACTTTTGACCACTGCTATCACGCACTGTCTTTGAAGTCTGCTCCTCTCTAGCTAAGCTACTGGAGCAAAATTTTAAAAAGCACATAAGATGTAACATTTAAATATCTAACATATTTAAGTATAATATTTAAGTCTGCTGGGGGCTGGCGATGGTGGCGTGTGATACTAGCGGGAGAAGACGGGTCATACATCGTCTGAAAATGCCTTGACCGACAACTGCTTCAAAAACCAAGCACCGCATTCATCAAAGATTTTATTTATACAAAAGATGTTTACTAAT